TAAAATTAATCTGCCAGCCAGTGCGTGGAATGAGGAGAGGACACAGTGCTGTCTTGCCCTTTGCCTTAGGGAGCGAAACACACACACCTTTTTTGGTAATCTGCAAAAGCTCTGAATGTTCCTGTATTTTGGGGATGTGCGGTTTAAGCTGTAACATGAACATGCCACCAAAGAATCACTGCTAGGCTGTCTGTTCCACTTTTCATCTAAAAAATATCTTCAAGGAAAGAGATGGGGATTACATTTGGGGTGGTTTTTTTCCTCCCCTTGGTACACTCCGTTCCCTGAAAATTCATGTGTTGCCTCAGGTTGAAAGGAAGAGACGACTGTCAAGTCTTAGCATCAGTGAGCCAGGTGACGAGGAGGACAGGAATCAAGCTTGGAGAAGGGAAAAGAATGATACTCTGATACTCTCTGAAATAAAAGGAAGTTGAGAGAGGGATCTACCAGTTTACTGTCCTACACCATGGCCCTTGGAAAAAGCCCACCATCAAATGTGTGTATGCATGTCGCTTTGTAAACCTTCAAATCATTTCTGCCATAAGCTTACCCTAGGTGACCCTCTGGAAATCACTCAGCCATGGAAACCCATTGGGATGCACACTTTCAGCCCCAGAAAACTCCATGTGTGCACATATCACCAAAAAAAAAAAACCTCTTTACATCTGAAAACGTTGAACTCTGGGTTTATTCAAATAACAATAACGTTTATTTACAATATCCGGTATTTCTATCCCATTCCTTCTCAACCCCCGATGGGGGACTCAGGACAGCTGACATTTGGCAGCAATTTGATGCCACTGCATATAACAGAGCAATATAATAACAATTAAAACAATAAGTAAAACATTCATTAAAATGGTATAGAACAGTATTAATAAAGCTGCTAATAGTTTCTAGTTCTCATGGATGTTACAAGAGTAGAAAGCTGGAGAGCTTGAAAACACTCTGACTTCACCCAACCGTGGTGTTATGAAGCAGCCACAGAAGCTGTCAAATAATATTGGCCCTGGGTGGTAAGACATTCACATAGGCACCATCTACACCAGTAGGAGCCCCCAGTGGTGCAATGCGTTAAACCCTAATGCTGGTAGGATTGCTGACCAATAGGTCAGCGGTTTGAATCCAGGGGAGAGTGGCTCTGGCTCCCCATGCGGGGACAGGAGAGAAGCCTCCCACAAGGATGGTAAAAACATCAAAACATCTGGGCATCCTCTGGGCAATGTCCTTGCAGACAGCTAATTCTCTTACACCAGAAGCAACTTGCAGTTTCTCAAATTAATCCTGACACCAAAAAAAATCTACTCCAGTGGTTCTAAACCTTTTTTTTTCACAAGGGACCACTTGACCAGGAACCACTTTGACCAGAGACCACTTTGACCACCCCCCAACATTAGTACTAGTGGGTTTATTAATTGGTTTTTAGTCAACTTTAGATTCGGTTTGGTTATTTGGGGTGCTGATTCAGAAACCTGCACTGGATAGACTACATCAGCTTTGATATAGAACATATGTCATCCAGTAGTCGTCATCTGCTCACCCACCGAAAACCATATTTAATAAGCTTCAGTACTATACGAGGGTTTTGTGAGAATACTCTCGTTGCAACGGTGTAGTAATGGTGAGGCCATGAACCATATTTTTGTTCTTGTGGACCACTGGTGGTCCATGAACCACAGGTTGGGAACAACTGATCTACACTAATTATTCAATGTGGTTTCAAATGGATTTGAAAAAAGTGGCTTAACTGTGTAGATCAGGCATCCTCAAACTGTTTGGGCCTTCAACTCCCAGAATTCCTGACAATTGAACAAGCTCGTCAGGGCTTCTGGGAGTTGGAGGCCCAAACAGCTGGAGGGCCGCAGTTTGAAGATGCCTGGTATAGATAATTACATGTGAAATTCTGGAACCAGTTTGATTCTAGGATGGTGATTATTACACAAACCATAGAGCACTGATACGTATTACGGGCTTTCATTCATGGGCTTTGTGGCACAATGTAAAATAAACCATATGTAGTTCATGTTGGATCAGCCCACACATTGTCTTGCCAGAGAAAGAAAATATGCCACACAGATGGACAATGAAGAACAAGTAGTTTACTCTTCTTAGTTCAGAACAACATCTGTACAATATGATCAGTTGCATCAACTCACTAAAGGTCCTTTTAGAGAGATTTAAAATGGTATTTCTTTATCCATATGAAGAAACCTTCTTTTCAGCAGCCAAGAAGCAAATCAATCTGTCTCTCTATGCTTCTCTCTTCTTCTTGTTGCGCCTGCATAGCTCGAGCCTGAACAAAAATGCAATAGTACCCAAAAGTTCCAGGTTCAGCCATCATCCTGTGCATTGCCCAACCAATCAGCTCCATGCATCTTATTTTTCAGTTTATTTATTTATCATGTCAGGAGCAAACCAAACAGTTGTATTACATTTTTTAACAAACAAACAAAACACAAAGTTTGCAAGCTTGGTAGTTGATTAAATGTCCTTTGACCAG